GAAATCTTGCCGGAGAACGAAGCGGATTACCCGCTTCATTTCAATTAACCGTTCGATAAATTTAGATCGAAGTTACGGGGGCCGATTCCATGCGAAACAGAAATCCTTTATCCGGGCGAACTTGCAAGGAGTGAAATTCGCGGAGTTCCTTTCCCCACCTCCTCCGGAGGATTTCCTTCTTATAGATTACGATAGATCCCCGCGGCCGCTTATCAACGCGAACGTTATCGAGGATTATCGGCGACCGTTCGAGGTTGATTCCACGAGAACGGTGGCTCGGGGCCGGAAACCGTCCCGTAAAACTTCTCGAAATCATACGCTCGGTTAAATTTCCGGAAAACCGAATCCAATCGAACGACGCCAGTGAATGTAGACATCCTAAATGACGTTGGAGAGTTTCCAGCGCTGGGCTCCGCGATTGGACAGATCGACGTAGATCGTCGAACGTCGAACGTAACGGGCTATACTTATCCGAGTCCCAATTACCAACTTACGCTCTTGCCTGACGCGCCGTTTCTGTCAAAGTCGCGTGCCACAGCGACAATCTTGAAATCAATAAGGGCGTTACAAATTTCTGTCTGCCCTCGGCATCTGCCCTGGGTTATACTAATTTACGACGAGTACGACTGTGCGCTGGATAAACATCTAACGGTGAACGAATCGAATGAATGCGGATCATTAGTGAGAGAAATCGGACTCCCGTGAAACCTTCTCGTACATTCGCGATAAAAATAAGTTTCTGTAATCGTCGACAAAACGCGTGTTTCTCCGAGAGAGATATCGACATCAGATACGGAAACAAAGTTTAAGAGACAGGCGTAAAGCATAGTCGTCGAGTATAAAAGAATTTCCGCGCTGCGAGGCGCTCGAGGGACACGACAAAGAAATATCTCACCTTCATTTTTCTCGTAACAAGCTCGGCAAGGGAGGGGGAAAGAAATAGGAGAAAAAAGGTTACCTCGGAAACTGGCAGTTTCTATCTACGTTGTTACTTGGCACTCCTTATTCAACAGAGCGCTGCCGCGCCGCGCCGACATGCCCGAGAATCTAGTTTCCTGGAGAAGTTGAATAAGTAAAGGCACGCGCACCTTTTGCTGTTTAATCCTCTCGATTGAAGAGCAACGAATAGCCTCGACTTCGAGTTTCGCCAGATTATAAGGCATAAGTCAGAAACGCCGACTAATAGGACGGCACCATCCGTTATCGATCATCTCGTATCGAAATTCTACGTAAACTACGACACCTCATATCCCGTAAGGAATCCCAATAACTTTTTTCTCAGGGCTCCAATTCAATCCGGGCCCAGCTGATTCTATCTGCTCGAGCGGAAAGTGCCTTTTTCCCAAGAGATGTTAGTCGCGTGTGGTTCCTTGCTGGGTTGTGGCCCGCTACGTACATACGTACATACGTGTAGACACTGATAAATAAGTAACATGGTGAATTCTCTCAAGCCCGGAAGTTCAACGGACCTGCTGGACCGATCTTGGTCGTAGCCTTTACCTACCATCGCTCCGTCTTTGTACCAAGGCTAATAAACTTAAGAGCATCATTCTTCTCTTTTAGCTTTTTCAGACCTATCCCCCTATCCATCTTGAATTAATAAACTACAGGCACTGTGCGAACTTTTGCATACTTTCTCCCTCCCATTTGCAATGCATATTATAGAATATTAGAGTACGTCAGTTTGATATCCATCGTTATTTACCTCAAGAGTAATTTGATAAATTCTTTGATTAAAAAAAAATGAAGAAGTAATTATATGCAAACTGTTCTCCGTCCATGAGTGTAAAGAATTAAGAAACAACGAATCGGCGGTGATCGATTGAATGCCAAATGTATAATACATTAGAGGTGAAGCAAAAAAATGGCGGAACAGTTCGATTGCACATTCGTGATCGATCATCTCACAGGACTATTAGTTTCCTCCGATATACGATATTCACCTATAACTGACGGATCGTTGCAATTGGTCGCGCGTTCGGGCATCGATCCTGAAAGCCTTGGAGGGCCGTTGTCCGCAAGGAATCTCAATAAGTCTTCTCGTCCTTCCATCGCAATTGGCGAGTGCCGATTCCTCGCGCCAATGTAAAAGAGCTGCCTTTCACCATCGGACGCCGAGCAAAAGAAATGGAAGAGGATATTGGTACTGCAGACATGGAAGGGACGACGGAGAGGAGCGAAAAATAGGTAAGGAGCGGTCAGTTGAAAAAGAAAGCAGAGAGGAAAAATACCAAATAAAAGGTTCGGTGAAAGAAGCGCCTCTCGCGAGGTCTTTTACACGAGGACGAGGGAGGCTACGTGCGGGAGCTGATAAATAAATAACGCGCCGCGAAAAAGAGAACCAAGGAGCTGAACACAGTAGAGCAGAGACGAAGGAGACCGTGAAGAGAGCACGGTCAAGAGGTAAGGATTGCAAGGCCCGTAAGGAAAAGTAACGCTAGCCCGTAAAAGAGAATCAATTCGATTCCCCGACCGTACCTCCACCCCCGCATCCCCATCTTTTCCTCACCTATCCCGCTACAACTCTCGCCATCGCCGTCAAATCTCCTTCTACTGCTTACCGCCGTTTTTCTCCGTTCCCGTCCCGACTCGTACGCCCCCACCTTTCACCGACAGTTCCCAAGCCTGCACACGCCTGTTCCTTCCTTCCTTCCTTCCTTGGCATCGCCCCATGCTCCTTTTCCGCGCAACAAGTGCGCCCCGGCTCAGATCTTTAAGAAAGCACCCGCTCCTCCTCCCTCGTTTAAGCCACCATCGCCGCTGCTAACACCACCGTCTTTGTACCCCGCCTCGCAGCCTTCTTTTGCTTCTTTTCCCATTTCCCCTTACTCCTCCTTTTCTATCTCTTTTCCCTTTCCCGTTCCCCTCTCGGTCGATCTACCCTATCCCTCATCCCCATAGCGAAGCCGCAACTACCTTCCCAAATCACTCGACGCGTACTCTCTCAGTCTCTCCTTCTCGCCCCTTCCCTGCTATTTATCCCTTCGCAAATGGTTCACGGTCGGAAACCAGCAAGCGAGCACCGCGTGCCGTGCACGTACCATGAATTCCGAGCGAGTATAGAATGGTAGCGTGTGCGCTCGTACGCGCGCGTGTCCCTTTCACAATTCGAGAATTCGAGGGGTGAGAAAGTGGCGAAGAAAGTTTCGAGGCAGTGGCAATCGCGTTGACAGTCGAAGTTCGCGGTTCGGGTAACACGAATTCGATGTATCTCGGCCCGACCCGACCGATTTTTAGAGGCAGAGATTTCCTCTGTCGCGCGCGTTTTCCGCCTCGATAGAGGATCGATGGAGGAGAAGAGCGACGACATCACTCGGAGTCTCCCCGAGACGAGGCGAGGGACAAGGGGAACGAGAGGGAAGGTGGATTCGCGGCGATTAGAAAGTTTTTACGAGCATCCGGGGAGACAACGTTGAAACGCGTTCGCAATGATATTCAATATCTGCTAACTTTTTCAACGCTCGTAAACTTGATTCGAGAAGTTTATGCACAGTTCTCCGAGTCCGCCATTTAATTACGCAAAGGATAGTGGCGTTACTTTAATGATTCCCTAGAGAGCCGGACCGTAATAGGCGGGACGAGAAAATACAACGCAGGAGGAAATCAAGACGGTGACACGGGAACTGAATGGAAAATGTTCACGACGAGGCACGAACGGCAACAAGTATCTTCGCGGTAGAAAGTGGACGTGCGTTTTTCCGTGGGAGCTCCAATTGTCATCGGGGCGAAATACGGTAAATTTATTGGCAGTTTAATACCCCGAGGGACGTTTATAGGGGGAGCAATAAATAAAAGCCGGTCGCTCGGAGCGAATGGCAAAGACATCACCAGTGGCTCGTGCAACGAAATTACTTCAGGCCAGTCGGACGTAAAAGTTTCCAGATCGCTCGCGGTACGACGACGCGAAGAGTCGTTTGAATAACCGAACTTCTCGCGATGGAAACGGTAAGTATACGTCAAGTATCGCTTCGTTTTGACACGATTACTGTCACATCATGGATGCTCTAAGAAGTTATTAATGACCGGTACGTGCGTACGGCCTCGTCAGTCGACGAAGGCGAAAGTCATTAGCATGAAAAGTTATCAAGTTCGAAGTACAAGTTGTTGTCCGACGAAAAGTTGCGATTGTCAAACAGATAAAAACGAAGTCCATGATTAACATGGACACTCGTAGTGGTTTCGTCACGTGGTGGAGAAACAGCGAACGGATCGTCGAGTGGCAGAAAATCAATCACTGGACACTTCGCCGGAACTTCCAAGCCGGGTAAAGAGAGTTCGAAAACGACCGAAGCAAATACGCGTCCTCTACCGTACCCTGTAAACCGACGTGCTTCGACTCGATACGAGTGCGCGCGATATTAAAAGTTCTCTGTATCGTTCGTCCGACCGTAGCTTTTAGTGTCTTTGATGCAAAAAAAAAAAAGAAATAGTAAAAATGAAAACGTTTGAAGCACGTGTACGCCCGAAACGGTTTTATGTACAAGGAGACTCAACAGTACTTTGCAAATCCAGTTGTGTAATGTTTCTACAGTATCCTACTAAAATCTGATCAGACGGAATCGTCGTTATCTCATATGAAGCTGGTATAACAATTTTTTATGATTTAGTCAATAAATTCCATGGTTTCGATATCTTTAAGAGACGCAGAGATAAGTACATTTGCGAGAAGATCGAAAATCAAGTTTTCGTAAAAACGGTAAGACTATTTCTACCACCGGAGAATTACTTCATTGGCCACATACCTTCTGCATCAGCAGAAACGCAGGGGTGACAGCCCTCATTTTCTCGCTCTACGTTCAGCGACGCAAATATTTACTCGGCTAAACGCGGTCCCCTTTTCCCCGATTCCCGTTGAAACAGAAGTACATCCCCCGCGATATTAGCAGCAGACAGCGAAATGGTCGACGGTCGAGGCAAAACGGAACGAAACGGTCCGTTCGGCAATGACTTCCAGCAGTGGAACGCTGCACGGCGAAGCGGAGATTTGTGTTCTTACTTACCGCGGACAAGGATGAGGGTGCTGGACAGAAGTACGATTTTCAGCGGCCAACTGGCCATCCTGGCGTAGACCGTTACGTCGATTCAGCTTCCTCCTGAAACAATACAAGCGTGCCCAATCAATCAACCCATCCATCCCAATCCGCTATCCCAGCCAACTCTAGCCCGTCTTTCTCTGTTCAACCCTCCGCCCCGTTCCGCCCCATCCCTCCCCCGCCGGTTCTCCTTTCTCTCTTCCTCCGTTTCATTGCATACCCACGATCGGACCTCATCCCACCTTTCGCCCCGTCCTTTCTGGCAAACTGCCCGCTCTACACTCTCTCTCGGCCGACACCCTCCCCGTAACCACCCGCTCGCTTCGTGCCCGAACCCTCGCCGTTCTGTATCGACGGTTTTTTTCCTCTCGAATCCGTGCCTACGGGTTTGTCCGCTCAATGAAAGTCCTCCCAGACGGTGAGCATCGTGCGACGTGCATAATCATAAAATACGCGATGCGTGCCTGCCAGCGAATCGTTTTTGTATACACGTCAATACTCTTATTCTTTTCCTCTATTCTTTATTTTCGTTCAACTTTTATGTTTCCGCGTATAATACACGGACCGTTGGCAGATTCCTCCTCTGAAACGAACGGGTTTCAGGAAAGGAACACCGACGAAACTGACAGTGAATCGATGTCGTAACGGAACGGAGGCGAAATACATCCATCGCGCTCGAACGTGCGCGAACTTTTTTTCCCGTTACGGTCGAGAGCCGCGAGCGCGATGGGACCGCTTTGATCGCGCGGTCTTTCAAAAGCGGGCAAGGACGGATTTCGTTGGTAAACTCGCGCAAAGGAGGAATACGGCGTTAGCGCAAAGAGAATATAAATACAACTCTCGGGTTGTATTCTATTTACGAGTTTAGTATTTCGTCGCACACTCCAACGCTTCCTTTCTCTAGCCAGCCACCGTCGCTTGAATATTGAACATTCTCCTTCCTCGCCTCGATTTTCCGCGAGGGTCGCCGACATGAATGAACATGTACACGTACGCCAGGCGTGTATATACACGCGCCCGTTAACTGTAACGTTCCGCGAAACGTTGAATCAGTCCCGACCCAGAAGAATCAGACACGGTTAACGACCTCGATGCGGAACTAAACTCTCCATTCGCGAATTTCCATTTCCAAAATCTCTATTACTGGGTTTAATTTGAAAAGTCGATCTACGTTCGCAATTCGTGTCTAAGTATAAGATTGGATTCTAGATTTAAGAGGTGTACGAAAATTGCGGTTACGGAAGATCGTGCGAACCCAGAAACATTAACTGTTCAAATCGTCAGACACACAGACCCGTGTGTATCCCAGTTTATAAAGCTGTACACTGCAAATACGCAACATATTTACTAATTAGTAAGGTGTAAAGAGACCGAGAGCAAGCTGCCTCTAGCGCTATTAAACTGCGTTCCGAGAACGCTGCCGCACGATATGTGTTTGTTTAATTATTGTATTTTGCTATTGCAAACACGATTTTGCACACTAACAGAGGCACGTCTGTTTTGCTTGGAAGATAAAATATGCAGTATATGAATGTTGATAAACGTGGTACGATGAACCTGTTCGATGTTTGATAAAAGTTAACGCGAATAATGTGCAAAAATATCTGAAGAGGAGGATACAAGATCGAACAAACGTGATTTTTAATTTAATCATTCCAATTTTTAGAACAAAACATATGTTCAATTGAGACCTTTTAACCAGTTAACTGTGTCGATCATTTTGCAAAGTGCGCCCCAGTGTGTGTCGCGATAATCAAGCGATGACGGATATAGTCGTCAAACACACTTAACTGGTTAATTAAAAATATTGCGCCAAAATTTTCTATTATAAGAATTCGTCTTCGTTTCTCATTGACCTAATCTACAATCGCATCATCGCGGCATCGAGACAGACGAAGTGACTCGATACGAAAGAAACGAATACAGGTACTTTACCGAGAAACGAAATAACTGTACTTTTTACCACTTCTTACCAGCTCCCCTACGCTGGGTTGATGCAAAGACCTGGAATTTAGAGCGTAAAATCGTTTGATTCGCTTCACGGCCCCGTTGTCACGTCTGCCCCTCATTCTGATCTTACTACTTGCTCTCGTCCCGCCGTCAGAGACGTCATAGGCGCACACAAACGCGTACACATCACAGTCGTCACACTCCCTCGCACGTTTCAGTCAACCATCTACCCTAGTCAGTTGGTTTCACCCGCAGTCGAACGTCACGTTCTACCTTCTCTTGTTCATCTTTGCATTCTTTAACAGTACATAAAAAATCAACTGGAATGGCTGCTAATTTTATGATTAAACTTATTTTTCACTTGACTCATTTGTCGTCAACCTCCTTCGAGGATCTCCCTCTGCCTGTTTCGCATTTCTGGCATTCGACTTGTCCGAGAGACCGATATCGGAAGGGACCCGTTCCTCTCATGTGCTCGGAAGATTAAGGAAGTTTTTGCGAGACGGTGCACGAAGTCCAAGAGATGAAAGAGGAGGGTGGCTCTCGGACTCGGCCCGAAGATTGGGTCATCCAGCGGGAGTATATTTGTCGGCCGGGATCGAACCGGTAACATTGTTCTCGCGGCACGGCACGAGGGTAGAATTACCTTCACCCGACTGCCGATGAAACGGAACCGGGAACCAATTCCCTCCGTCTGCAATTAAGTTTACGAACGAAGAATAGGCGCGCCATTTTCCAGATCCGCCAAGAATTGTCGATTTAAAACAGTGGTCATTCGTCACGACACTAAAAGACGTAGGATAAATAAAAAAGAAAAGAGATTTCGGAGGAGCAGCTGCGTGAATGCAGTCCGAGGAGATTAGAAATTTCCGAAAACTATCACGTGGGACCGAGTAAAACGGCGAGAAATTTTTAAACCGATCGATCAGCTTTTCTCTTTCTATTTGGAGCCTGCGATCGGAGTAACCGTGTCTCTCACGAATGTGAGGCACGTGCGCGGGGTAGGGAAATCAGTGTAACACGCGAAAACGAGGATCCACGTGCTCAAGGTGTCGGAGGTAAAACGTGATCGACGTAGACGACCACGGGAGCTGGGAGTGAAACGGAAAGAAGCCGTGGAGGTATCTTGGCCCGCAGTTGCACGTGGCGCGGTGGATCGTGACGGTGAAAGGAAGGCGACGTACGAACGTAATTGTGGCGCTAAAAGCAATTTCCCGCCGCGGTAATCGTTTTAGCAAAGTGCTTTGCAATTTAGCGAGTCTTTATTAAAATAAAGTCGTTCCCGAGCCGGTACTTTATGACTGTCTACCTATCTCCTAATCGCCTGGCCGTCGACCGAGACCGCTTTAAATGCGTCAATTTATCGGCCATCGAATTTTCGCGGATCCATTAGATGAAGCCTGGCTATCGTTGTATAAACTCGGTTCATCTCCCTGCCCGTTTCCAGTATTCGCCGATTCCGCGAATTAAACTAAAGCGCAACGGATGGAGAGGTAGACTATATCAGTTTACAGCAAATCGAGTTGAAACACAGACCGTAATTAGAAAAGCTACTGCAACTAACGTTTTGCCACCGCGTTTGCTCGAAACGTGAATTATAATTTAATATACGTGCACTATATTCAAAATTCAGTGACGGCACACGAAGCTGACGTAGATGTATGTACGTAGGTACGTGTATAGACATCATGGTCATGCTACGTACACGTAATGCATATATCTCTCTCTCCAGCTATCCCCAGTTTATATGAAATTCATAAGCACCGAACAAAAGAGAGCCCCCTAACCGGAGTTAATATATTATCCCTTTAACGGGGAAGTTTCTAACCCTTTCCTAACAGTACGTTCGAGCGTAATAAGTGCCTCAGCATCCCGTATTATTTACCCGAATCCTTTGTTCAAAAGTTACATCTGTTTGGTTCGCATTGTCTTTCATGAACAACGCAGATGTAAGGTGAAGAAAATAAAACTCTCTTTAAACGTGTTGTAAATGTGCGTAAATGGAGCCGTGCGTCGAGACGAAAGTTTTTTTCTTTTAATTTTCCGCGGCTACGTCCATTTACTTAGGGCACGAAATTAATACAGCTAGCCTCGGTAAAAAAAAAAAGAAGAAGGAAGAAGTAGCGTGCAAGCAACGGAGGGTAACGACAAAAAAGGTACAAGGATGGAGAAAGGCCATGGTGTACTTCAACGCGACAGTTTCATTCCATCGTTGTCAACGTCAAGAGTATTCTTCTGGTTCGCAACTCTCTACCCTCTACCTACCCCACACTACTTATTTGTGGACCTCCTCCAACCTTCATTCATCCGTGTCTCGTTCTCGCACTCGACGCTTTTTTCACCCGGCTATTCCATCACCTTAGGTCTCGCTTGCACCACGGATACTTTCTTGTACAATTCGCGCGAACTTGCAAGGATCTTGTCCTCTCGAGTCTCTTTTCCGACCCTCCCGGCGCGACGCGGCGCGACTTCATCGAGGCTGAATTAATTGTCGCAGCGTTAGTCGCGAGAAGGAAAAGTCGCAGAAAAGAAGTTTCGCTAAGACAGTATAATTCATTTGTTCTTAAATCAATACTCCATTTCCCTTCCTCTACAGTTCTTTCGCAGTTTACCACAGAACGAACAATTAACAAGTTTCAGAGATAACAAATAAAGCAAATATGAGATTCGACTGTCCTCGCGTAGGGAAGTCTGATTAAGAACAATTAATTTCCGACCGTTACAGCTTGGACGAAATCCAAGAGAATTCGCGTGTACATGCGTTGAATAATGCACGCTCGTAAGTCCTCGGTTTCATTATTTATTACGAATATGCAGTATACCGCGCGCACGGGCGGACGAAATTACCGTCAGCTGGAAAATTGTTGATCCACAGGCCGAATAATCTTGAAAATTAGCGATGTTTTCGCGAGCCGTGAACTTTGCGCAAACTTTTCGGTTCGCCCGATGAAACCAAACGGGAGCGACGCGTCGCAGCGATACGTGTAAGGTCCTTGAACCCGGGCGATCCGCGTCAGAGAAATTTCCGCAGGCCCCGATGGCGCAATAAATCTTGTAACGTTGCCACGAACGAACTGATATTAATTAACGTGAAAGCCAGGGGAGAAAAT